GGCGGTATTTTAAAGAGAGGGGAGAGCTGGGAAGGGCAGGGAAGGAAAGGAAAGGAAAAGGAAGGAAGGAAGCAAGGAAGGAAGGAAGGAAGGAAGGAAAAGGAAAGGAAAGGGGGGGGGAAAGAGAGAGGGAGAAAATCCTCCGTCGCCCCCTCCCCCTCTCTAAAAAAAAAAAAATTAGCAAGAGCGCGAGCGAGAGCAGGGGGGCTCAAGGCGGCGAAAAATAAATAAAATTAAGAAAACGGCAGGAGCGGCTCCAGCCGGCAGCAGCGGCGGCAGCAGCAGGGCAGAGGCAACGACAGCCGAGGCGGAGGCAGGCGGCAGCAAGGGTCCCCTCGCTCTCCGCTCGCCCCCGGCGCCCGGGCGGCCGCCACTCCCCCGCCCCCCGCCTCATTCCCCGGCAGCCCGCAGCGAGACGCGCCGCTCCCCAGCACTTTTTTGGGCCCGAGATATGGCAATGGTAGTTAGCAGCTGGCGAGATCCGCAAGAAGACGTGGCCGGGGGCACTCCGAGCGGCCCCAACCCCGCCGCGACGCAGCCGGCCCGGGAGCAGCAGCCCCAGCAGCAAGGGAGTTCGGCCACCCCACACACCCCACAGACCCCCAGCCAGCCGGGACCCCCTTCCACGCCGGGCACGGCCGGAGACAAGGGAGCGGGCCAGCAGGGCTCGGGGCAGAGCCAGCAGCACATCGAGTGTGTGGTGTGCGGGGACAAGTCCAGCGGCAAGCACTACGGCCAGTTCACCTGCGAGGGCTGCAAAAGTTTCTTCAAGAGGAGCGTCCGCAGGAACTTAACTTACACATGCCGCGCCAACAGGAACTGTCCCATCGACCAGCACCACCGCAACCAGTGCCAGTACTGCCGCCTCAAGAAGTGCCTCAAAGTGGGCATGAGGCGGGAAGGTGAATATTTCTTCCCTACTATGCTATCGCTCCCCTCTCCCCGTGGCTGTGCAGGAGTGCGTGTGCGAGGGCTCTCCGTCTGTCTGTGTCTGCCTGTCCGTACGCGCACCTATATGCATACGTATATATATATATAATATATATATATATACACGCGCGCACACGCACGGCGTGCAAACACACACACATTTAAATATAAATATATTAAAATAAACACACACATATATACGTGTGTGTGTATATATGTATTTATTTATTTATTTATTTATTTACTGCTCTTCGTAGCAATCCAGGACTCTCTATATATTTCCATGCACACGTCAATCTCTTCCTCTGCCTGCACTCCATCTGGCAGCTTTGCACCAGGTTCTGTTGTTATTGTCGATGGTGGTTGGTGGTGTTTTCTTTTGCTTTTCGATTTGTGCCTCCTGCCCTCCCTCCCGCTCTTCCCCACCCCCTTCTCCGGCATTGCCACACTCGCCGCTTTCCCGATAATTGTGCAGAGAATTTATTATTATTATTATTATTATTATTATTATTATTATTATTATTATTATTATTATTACTACTACTACTACTACTATTATTACAATCGCTTGCTAAATATTTATCATTTAGCCTCTATCCCCATTTCCCCCTGCGCGCGCGTGTATGCATGTGTGCGTGTGCGTGTTTTAGATGTGGTTTTGTCTATTGTTGGCATGAGAAGGGAGGGTGGGGGGAGATACATCTTTCTCCCTTACGAGAGATGTGATTCCATTCAGCTTCCTTCCCTCTCACCCCTTCCCCACCCCCTTTCCACCCCATCATTTCTTTTTAAACCTGCAATACTTCTCAGTAGATTCACGTCTCAGGCTCATTTTTCCCGAAAGAAAGATGAAAGACGTGTAATTAGAGAAAGAGGAAAGGGTGTGAAAAAGATGGAAGGGAGAAAAGAGAAAAAAAAAAAAACAAAAAGAAAAAGGGAGGAAATGTGCTACTCTATCTCCGTTTCCCGGTGCTTCCCGGTGCCTTGGAGTGTGCTTCTGTGCGAGATTTGGCCTTGTTTTCATTCCATGCTTTCAAAGGAAAGTTTGTGGCTGAACCGTGTTTCTGTACTTCTGTCTTTTTTTTTTCAGTGCACTGCTCATTTTATTTCTTCATCAAACTCCACCCTCTCCTTACTCTCCTTAAAGTCTTCATACAAATCTTGATTTATAACCTCTTTACCGGTTCTTCTCATTTAAGCAGCATCCGCAGCCTGCATCTGGCGGCGAGATCCCTACCATTTCTAACTGCTCTGCTGGGTTTTTTTCTCCTCCTTTCCAAAGTTGCCTGTGGTTTTTCTTGCGTTCAGACTCATTCTCGTGTAGGGAGATTTCCTGTCCTCCTTTCTCCTCGAAACATTTCTCTCGGTTTAAAGTTTACTCTGTGACTGTCGTTAAAGATATAGTTGATTTTTTCAGTTTGATATTTTATATTCCACAAGAAGGAATTGAATTAGGCTGCCCCAGATATGAAAGAGCTCACAAATATGACGGCTTCATTGGTAGCTGCAGGGACTGTTCGTAGGCACCTGGGAGAGTTCAGGCAAGCAAAAAAAAAAAAAAAAAAGGAAGGAGGAGAAAAAATAAACAAACAAAAAAGTGAGAAATGTGCACACAGTTATATGAAAAATATCTGCCAAGTTTGCAAGTAGATTGAAGAGGGACAGGTAGGCTGGAGAGCAGCAGGACAGAGTCTGGTCCGGGTGGGGAGGAGGGCTCGTTGAGGAAGAAAAGAGAAAGTTGAGAAAAATGTGGCACGCCGGAAACATGAGTGATTGCATGTGCGGGTGTGTGCCAGCAAGCGTGTGCGATTGTGCGGTTGTGTGTCTGTGTGTGCAGGGTATAAGCCTGAGTAGCCGTATCTTTCCCTGAAGTTACGTTTGTTTACATGGCAAGCGGCTGCAAACGCTGGCACTGATGGAGTAAAATACACGCACACATTAAAAAAAAAAAAAAAAAAAAAAAAAAAAACCACCAACTTTGGTCAGCTTTCGGGACTCGAGGCATGCTTACGCTCTGTGTGGAGATGGTTAATGAATCCAGTGTTTTTGCAGTTGCAAGCTTGTGCATTCACTGTGCAACGCTGACTGCAGGCTTTTGCAGTGGCAACAGCTCACCAAAGATATTAATTACACCGTCCCCTTTTTTTTCCACGAATGTTTGGCTATTGTAAGTTCGGACATTTTTGTTTTATTTCTCCCTTTCCCCTGATAATATTTAACCTTTATCTTCCTTTTAGCAGGGAAAACTTTGCTGGGCGGGGGAGGGGGGGGGGCTCTATGGAAAGCTGGTTCTGTGTAATAAAGTTAGCAGTGGGGAGCTGGAACGCTGCGACCTGTTCCAGCTTGAAGGGTAACGTCGAGGTATTTTTGAAGAATATGGACGCATTTGGTTTTATGAATTATTTTATTTAATGTTTTAGTCTAAAAAGCGACACAGCAGTTTACTTGTAAATTTCAGTGGTATCAGGGCAATAGGCTGGGATTCACGGCAGAGCTTGGCTCTTTTTTACAGTTGGCTGTGATTTTTAACTCTACTTTCTCACCACCCAGTGGAATTTTTTTTTTTTTTTTTTTTTTTTTTTTTTTTTACGTGCGGGGCTTTCTTTTGTTACGAGAGGGGAGGGGGGAAGAGGGGGTTGTGTGAGGATTTGTCTTGTTTGCCTTGGCTTCTTTTTTTTTCCCCCTTTCTTTTTAATCTGTTTATTTTGTGAAGCCTGTCTGCATTGTGGTCGGGGGTGGGGGGAGTGGAACGCGCTTGGCTGCCGCCGGGCTGAGGCTGCCTGAGCAGGGGTCGGGGCCGGGGCCGGGGCCGGGGCCGGGGCCGATGCAGGGGCCGGGCGGGGGGCGCAGTGCAGGTCGGCAGCAGCTGCCCGGCTCCGCATGCCTCTGTCTGTCCGTGCCTGTGCGTGTGCCTGGAGCGAGGCGGCGGCGGGGAGGGGAAGAAGCCCGGCATTGTCTCCGGCTGGTTGGCAGCGCCGCCGGGGCGATGCTTGCGAGCCTCCTGGATGCACATTTCCTCTCCTTCTCTCCTTCTTTTTGTCAGCGGTTCAGCGAGGAAGAATGCCGCCCACCCAACCCAACCCCGGCCAGTACGCCCTCACCAACGGCGACCCTCTGAACGGGCACTGCTATCTCTCGGGATACATCTCCCTCCTGCTGCGGGCCGAGCCCTACCCCACCTCCCGCTACGGCAGCCAGTGCATGCAGCCCAACAACATCATGGGCATCGAGAACATCTGCGAGCTGGCCGCCCGTCTGCTCTTCAGCGCCGTCGAGTGGGCCCGCAATATTCCCTTCTTCCCCGACCTGCAGATCACCGACCAGGTGGCCTTGCTGCGGCTTACCTGGAGCGAGCTCTTCGTCCTCAATGCTGCCCAGTGCTCCATGCCCCTCCATGTGGCCCCGCTCCTGGCCGCCGCCGGCCTCCACGCCTCCCCCATGTCGGCCGACCGCGTTGTCGCCTTCATGGACCACATCCGCATCTTCCAGGAACAGGTGGAGAAACTGAAGGCGCTGCACGTCGATTCGGCTGAATACAGCTGTCTGAAAGCCATCGTCCTCTTCACCTCAGGTGAGGGGACGGGTTGGGGATGTGAGACGTCTGGGAAAAAAAAAAAGAAAAAAACTAAACGAAACAAAACAAACAAACAACAACAACAACAAAAAAAAACCAAAAAAAAACCAAAAAAAAACCACAGCACCTGCGGGAAAATAAGGGAAAAAAATTAAATAGAATTATTTTTAAAGGAAAGGGACTGGAGGCCGAGGAAGCATAGCATCTGACGGGGGTACAGTCCGGTCCAGGGATCAGCCTCTCCCTCATCATCGCTAACACTGGCTCTTTTGCACACAGTCCCTCAAAAAAAAAAAAAAAAAAAAAAAAAAAAAAAACCAAAAAAACAACAAAACCAAATTAAGTGTAGGCGGTGGAAACATGCATGTTAACAATTTTTCCCTGTGATAGATGGTTTGAATTAACTAGCAGGAAAGTTGCATTAGCATTGCCTTTGAAGTGCTCTGGTCATAGCTTATAAGAATATAATACGTATACTATTATTGTAACCTGCAAGGGAGAATTTATAAACATCAAAGAGGAACTATGTGAAGGAAATATAGGAAATGGAAACAAGGCAAGATAAGAGCCTGGGCAGTGTAATTTTTAAATTATTATTCTAATTATCACCACGATGTTGCTAATTGCCACCTTTCCTACTTGTTTCTCTTTTTTTTTTTTCTTTTTCATTTTTATACACCCTCTCCCCATCCCCTTGCTCCTCTCTTGTACAAGCCTCTCCCCTCTTTTCCCAATTAGCAATAACTAAACAGTTCTGATAAATGTAACTTAAAGCCAGGCCAAGGCAAAATTAAAAGCATTCCTGAACAAAGATGGCAAATCGTTCAAAGGCCTTGTTTAACACTGAGCAGTTTATAATCCATCAATATTTGTTGCCTTTCAAGCACGAAAGATAGTATTTACATTGTATTAAAATGACTCCTAAATTTGCACTATATTGTAATGCAGCAAATGTAGTATTAATATCGATTTGAACATCAGATAATTTATTTAGACAGGGTATCTAATTTGTATGCAGGGTGGTCGGAGACATGTACTGTGACTGCCCCCTTTTATTTCCAGTGCAAATGCAGTCTTGCAGCGTTGGAGGGAATATTTCTTTGCAAAGGATAATGTGCAAATCTTAAAACAAATGGAAGATTTACTGAATAGCCAACTCGACATTTTAATGTATTTTATCATAATAAGTCTTCTTGATGGAAACATGTTTTTCAAGAGTGACAAAGAGACCTGCCTGCATTTATCAGGGTGATTTAACTCCACTGCCTGCCTGCAGACTCCCAGACTTTCCTTTCCCATTCATTTCGGTGAGCTCATCAATACACAGGGACAGTCGAGGACAACCCTTTTTTCTCCCAGACCCAAGCTGGAGAGATTCTTCCCAAGCAGATCTGGGAAAATGTCTGGCTGTGCCTCAGCCCTTCCACATGCCACAGGCCCTGTGAAGGAAGTTGCCCCTGATAGAGACCTGGTTAAGGGAGTATTTTACTTTTTCTTCTTTCTCTTCTCTCCCTGTTCCTGCAAGTCTTCCCCGCTTACTTCCAAAACAATTGACCTTGGCTAGAAAAAGGGTACGTGGCTTTAGAGGAGCTCTTAATTTACATATAATAAAAAAAAATGTAATAACTTAACATTTCTGAGGGAGAAGTCCCTTCCCACAGTGGAGTGGAGAATGAAGGAAGGGAACAATAACATTATTTCAGGGCAGGATCACATGGGGCATCCATGGGAAATGGAAATACTGCTGTCAGGTGTAATCTAGTACCCCTCACCCCCATCCACACACTCCCACTTTTCACAAAAATTGTTTTCATTGTATATTCAGAGGGGAATTCATGAGAAGCCTTTCTCAAAGTCATCCAACTTTTAAACAAACTTTAACTGACAGAAAAGACATTTTTAGACATATTGTCCAAAGTCCTTCACTAAGGACTAAGAATCTAAAGCTGGCATGGATTTGTCCTGTTGTGGTTTTTACATTTGGGCTCCACAGAGCATGTATTTAACCTGTAAAATTGTGGACATAGTCCAAAAGCTGTGTAGTAACCCCAAACTTCCTTGCCTCCTTTCCCCTTGTCTCCCATACCCTCCTCCTTGCCGTCATCTCCTTCTCCCCACTGCCAAACTTTAGCAATATTAATTCCTACATCTACCTTTTCATCGCCATGAATATATGTTTCCGGGAACAGACAGAGACAGATAACGTAAATCAAATACATCTATTTACAGCGCAATCAGAACTTTTGATTTCTAGTTAGATGCCAGCTGATTATGTCTATATTTTCTGAACACTAAACTCTTCTGAACATGTAACATGAAATACATTGCCGCCACTACAAAGGGGAAGGCTGGAGTGTGTTGAACAGTAATGGTTATTTATTTACATAATTTCTTTTCCATAGACTACAAGAAGAAATATAGAGCTTTCCCTTATTGACACACTGCCATATAAAAAAGCAAGGCACACACAGGATTTTCACATTAGCCCACTTTCTGAGATGGAATAATAATTCACCTTCAGTAAACATGGATTGCATTATTTCTCCCATGGATTGCACCTCTCTGGGCTGCATAATATAGTCGAGTTGTAGATCCTTTAATTATTATTATTTTTAATCACATTCTGAAGGGAGAATTGAGACTTCCACCCCCACTTAAGGCTGCAGAATAAAACCCAAGTGAAGGCATATGCCAGACCATCTAAAATAATTGAAGCCCAACAGATATTATCAGCATGAGAAAATTCTGAATTTTTGGAGGTCTAAGGCAAAACCCATGGTCAGTTTTTCAAACACACACACGAATCAGACTGATGCCCTTTTAGAGAGCAAGTTCCCCATCCACGTTGTCCAGTGACCTACACTTATAGGTGCACTTATCGTAAATGTCTGATAAATATTTTACTAACCTTAAGGGTATGACATATGGGGCATAAAGAAAAAAGCCCTGCCAGGGTGTCAGTAAGATCCTTTCATATTGCATTGTTTGGAAGCTGAATAGGATCCTAATGCATAATGGGCAGATAATGCATGTAAAATAGCAAGATATATGTAAATATGGAATCTGATTTGTGGCAATCAACGTATGAACAGGTCTGTGGTTTTGATATGTATTGCAAACAAGAACAGGGTCCAGCTTTTGATAGATATATATGTTGCAACCTGGTGCTTTAGATGTTGCAAAATATCATTGCATTAAAAGTAGAGTATGGATTAGCAGAGCAACCTCGTTCAGATAATTGTGTGTCTGAGGGATGCCAAGTCCGCAGCTCAGGTCAGAGGTTCTCCTTCTCAAAGTTCCTAAATTATGGCTTGTTTTATTTGTATTTTTTGCTTGAGGCCATAGTATTGTAGATGAAGGTGATCTGAAATCTTTGTAAGGTCAGTTCTTGATAAGAGAAGACTTAAGCTTCAAAAATGCCAGTACAATAGATTTTATTTTATTTTATCTTTATTTTATTTTATTCTATTCTATTTTTAGTTTTGTTCATTTGTTAATTTGTTATGTCTTTCCAGGGTCACAACTCTACACTCACAGTTTTATAATGTCTTTTTGGGGGCCATTAACTCTTTCATATATGGATCTATATATTAGCAAAGTCTGGCTTTGGTCTGTTAAACTGAACTGCTAGCTGACAACCTTGGTCTGATCTTGATAGCTGGAGATTTTTCTGTTTTGTTGGTTGGGTTTTTTTGTTAGGATTTTTGGTTATTATTTTGGTTTGGTGTTTTGAATATCTGTTCTGAACCTTTGAAATAATGTGGATGGTTTCAGCCATCTGGGCATACTCACCACTTTTCCATGACTATTCTTTCCTGAGCAAGTCATTCCACAAGCAGCTGGTGCACAGTTATCCTCTGGTTTGGGTTATGTGTTCTCAGAGATAGGATATGTTCTTGTAAATGTCTCTCTGTGTGTGCAAATGCACAGATGCATCCATACCTCTCTGCTTGTATCTGTATACACACAATAACGTGTATATATACAAATACATGGGTGTAAAGGGTTTCTGCTCTCGGATTAGTACAGCTTTGCCCAGGTCATATAGTTCTGCAAGGTGCAAGGCGTATTCTTCTGACAGTTTGGGTGCCAGAAGGACCTATAAGGAAGGAGTCTCTCTGGTTTCATTTAGGCAAGGCTAAGCCGCTGCAGCTCTCCCCACCTTTGTGTCTGAGAGCTACAGACGCCTGCTGAGCGCAAGCTGGGACTAACCTAGCCGTTTGCTACCGGATTTATCACATAGCCCGCAAAGACGCGGCAAGTTTGCGATGGCTGGCAGTGAGGCAGGAGCAGAGGAGACTCCCCTGCCCCACGGCATCCCCCAGCCGGCTCCCTGCCAGTCCCTGCAGGTCCAAGTCACTGCCTCTGTGTGATGTGCAACCATGTCAACAAACTCCTTGTTTCTCACTCTGCCTTTATGCGACTCTGCTTATCGTATCATTACTGTTGTTTCTATTATTATTATTATTATTATTATTATTATTATTATTATTATTATTATTATTATTACTATTATTTTATTTATTTATTTCCCCCAATACCTTATTTTTCTTCCTCTCGGCGTTATTTAAGGGGGCTGGTCCAGGTTTCCAGCATCCCCGTGGTGGGTTCCCTGGAGCAGAAACCACGCTCGACAGCGTGGAGTGTCGGTGGGGGGGGATGTGAAAAGGAAGCGTGGGGGGTTGTGTGCGTGTGAGATTGGGACGAGAGGGGTGCTGGCACTCCATCGTATTCTGGGTGAAAATATCCACAGTGGCGACGAGCCACAGCGAGGCTCGCGTTATTTATTTGGCAGTGGTGCGCGGGATGGGATGGGATGGGATGGGATGGGATGGGATGGGATGGGGATGGGGATGGGGATGGGGATGGGGATGGGGATGGGGATGGGGATGGGGATGGGATGGGGGGTGCGCCTTTGAGCTGCCCCCCATCCTCGCAGCGTTTCCCCGTGCGATTCCCAACCACTAACTATCTCCTCTCCGCTTCCTCCTCCTCCTCCTCCACCTCCTCCCTCCACTCTCCCTCCGCCTGCCGCCGTTCGGCGGCTGCCTCCGCGGGTGCGGTGCGGTGGGCAGACGCCTGCGGCCTGTCTGATGCTGCGCACATCGAGAGCCTCCAGGAGAAATCGCAGTGCGCGCTCGAGGAGTACGTGCGGAGCCAGTACCCCAACCAGCCCAGCCGCTTCGGGAAGCTGCTGCTGCGGCTGCCCTCCCTGCGCACCGTATCCTCCTCCGTCATCGAGCAGCTCTTCTTCGTCCGCTTGGTAGGTAAAACCCCCATCGAAACCCTCATCAGGGATATGCTACTGTCGGGGAGCAGCTTCAACTGGCCTTACATGTCCATCCAGTGCTCCTAGAGCCCATCCCGCATCCCCGGCAGAGAGGCGGCGGAGCGGCGGAGAGGGGAACGCTCGCACCGAGGGGCAGTCGGGGTGCGGGGGTCCCGGGAGGTGGACACTGAACAAAAGAAAGGGCGAGTGGGAGCAGAGATGGGGCCGTGGAGGGGAGAAGGACGGACCTGTCGTCCGTGGAGGTTGTGATGTTTAGCCTTTTTTTTTTTTTTTGGCCTATTTTGGGTTTTTTGTTTCTTTTTTGTTTTCTTTTGGAGAGGAGGAAAAAAGAAATAAATAATATTAATAAAAGAGACAAAAAAAAATGAGTATTGAGGGGATATTAATCAAACCTGAAGGGGATACTGGATCTTCCAGGATTTATTGTGGACTGTTGTTGATATATGCTGTACAGTAAACCAACAAAACAAAAAAGCATTGAAACTGAACTGAACCTTGTGTAGAATAAAAAAAAAAAAACGCCCAAAACCAAGCAAACAACAACAAAATTTCCATGCGCAAACACCATGAACATTGTTACTCATTTTGTAATATATTAGTCTTTATTTTCATTTTTGGTAAAAGTTAAACATCATACGCGCATAGAGGAAAAAAAAAGAAAAGGAGAATTAGGGGAAAATAACATTTTCCAAATAATTATAAAAGAATTGTCCTGTGTCTATGTATCTATATCTGTTTTGTATTTTTTTCTGGTTCCAAACCAGGTTTCCTGTGATTCTATACTAATAATTTTTGATATAACCCTTTGCTTCTTATAATGAGTGCGATATATGTTGTCAAAGCTGTTCTTCAAGAATTAAAATTGAAGTGAGAATTAAAAAAAAAAAAATAAAAGAATTTAGCAAAAAAACCCCAACTTATCACCCCACAACCCATGAGTCTTGTTGCTTGAAACATGCCAACAATTCCAAAAAAAAAAAAAAAAAGGAAAAAAATTTTTAAAAAGAGAAAAAATCATAAACAAAAATAACAACAAAGATCTCCCCATATTTTTAACTCCTGTACTGGTGCTAAAAAATTAGAATTTAAAAAATACTTGGGAGGGGTAAGCAAGTCGTGTAAACTAAGGGATGCTCCTCCAAAATGGACTTGACTGTATAAGCTTAGGGCTGAGCTGTCAAGGCCTAGTAAAAGGGAGCAGGAGTTGCAGCGTGATGCCTTAGGTGACCTTGCCTTCCTGGGACTGCACCACAGACTCTCCACCAAGGCTGATGGGCCTATCTGACTGACCTACCCCTTTTTGAAACACCTTTTCCCATCACCTGGATTTTCTGCTGAGTTCACACATTGCTTTTTACTCTCAGACATCGTGGTCATGGATTGAAGTCACCATATGCCATCATCTCTACCCGTGCAGCAAAACGCATACTCTAGCCATGGGTCATATTTGTTCCAGGCTTGGTTCTGGGGACAAGGTGTGGGGCTGCGGGGTTTTGTTTTTATCTTCTTTTCCACTCCAAGGGCTCACAGACCCCAATATGTGCTCCAGTATGCATGCCTTGTGCTTACTGTCAGCCAGAACAGATCTCTTGCTTTTTTTCCCAACTCTAGTTGCTGTGTGTGGAGGGTATTCCCACTCCATTAATATAGAAATCCAGCTGGATGCTCGCTCATTGGGTGGTGAGCTAGTGCATTTCATGTATGCTTATGTGCCATGGCCATGCAAAAAACACAGGCTGTGACATCCCACACCATGGCCCACCCACTGCCAGGGCCCGAGCTCTGTGCCAAAAGCCCCTTTTCATTTCAGCTTGTCTTTTTTTTTCCCAGAAAATTAAAAATCGTTTTTGTAATGGAGCTGCTTTGAAGGTAAAGGCTTCTAGCTGGTGGTGCAGATCTCTGTAACAGCTTTCAGTGCATTAATGTTTTATAGGATCTGAGACGGAGCTGTAAGAACACATACTACCAAGGGAGCTCTTTCTTAATGTATTAATAAAGCTGGATCTTTAAAAATAACATTGTCCCACTCACACAGACACCTCCTGTGCCCTCCAAACAAGCCTAGATGAGGTAGACTTTTCAGTTTGTGAAGACATGGGCAGTATTTTTCTTTTAATTTGCTGTCCTCCATACTCTCCTCTCTCTCCTTACCTCCTTCTCTCTCAATCTCCCATCTTTTTTTTTTTTCATTCTTCATTTCTTTTTTCCTTTTTTTTTTTCTTTCTTTAACAAGATTCTTCAATTCAACTCGCTTGGGGTTTTTAATATTCTAGGCGCAGCAGATCTGAGGTGAGAGCAGCTCTATACGGTAGACAGCTATAGCTGGATAATCAACATTACAGGCAGATCCTCTATGGGGGTATCGCCTCATTCGAGATGGAGAAAAGGCCTGTATTCATAGGTGTTGGGAGTGGGGGGGACTTGGATAATTCTAGACGTGAGCACACAAGAACAGGAATTAGGGAGTTAGACAAACAGACAGACGTCCTCCCTTTTTGTCACTCACTTGGACACTGCATGAGCGAGAGCTTTGTTCCTGCCCCTTCCCCCTGGAGAGAGGGGGTCCAGCAGCCCCTCCGGGCTCTCAACAGTGAGTGAGCGGGAATGCTCAGACATGGGAGGTGCTGAAAGAAGCATTTTTCACCACTTCTTTATGGTGGGATGGGTGATTTGGGACCCAGATGAACTAGCAGTTTAAAACACAAACAAACAAACAAAATCAAACAAACAAACCAAAAACTAACAAAAACCAAACCCCAAAACCCCTAACCAAAAACAACAACAGAAACAAACCAACAAAACAAAAAACCACCACCAACACATCCCCCCCACCCTCCACCCGCCCACCTACAGACAAACAAAACAAATGGGGATATCAGAAGAGAAAAACAGGTCTCGGTTTCTTCCAATGAGATGTAAATAAATTCATTACAGTGTTATCCCACTGATGAAAACCGATAAACTTTTTCGTAGATATTTTTAAATTAATTTTCATATTTATGAATAATAATAACCCACGGATTGCCAAGAAACTTGCAGGTGTAGAGGAGGTGTACGAGATGCACTTATTTCCATGTATGTGCCTAGAAAGAAGTGTTTCAATCCCTTATTAAACTTTGGTTATAAGATGGTATTGTGTTCTGAAGTGTTAACTATCCAGTCTGAGTTGTGTCAGTGGATGTTTTCCTTTGCCACGCTGCAGCTTCTGGGGCATTCATATGGCAGCTAAAAGTACTGTATCATCGCCTCATCGAGTGCTACTTGCTGGGAAAAAAAAATTAATACGTGGATGCGGAGACGGGCTGGGGTCTCTCAGTAAGTTTCTGCCGACGTATTCGTAACCTACAATATACTGCTTTAAAATTAACTCCATCTACATTTCTTCTGCCTTGTTGTTGCCGGGGGCCCGGGAGCTGTCCCCGGAGGCTCCTCGGTTCCCCAGGTTCCTAAGGAGGCGGGGTCGGCAGGGAGTTCCCTTGCATCCCTGCATCCTGCAGGGCTCCGCGGCCCCTCCATGCTCACCAGCAGCTGCGGCAACGCTTCAAAGGCTGGAGTGGGGGTTGGAGGGGAGGAAGCAGGGGGTCGGTGGGATTTGGGAGAGGGTCGACCCTCCCACCCCAGCCCCGAGCAGGGGATCTGCTCGGGGCACAGCAGATACAAAGCCCTCCTTCCCACTCCTCTTAGCACCTCGCCAAGTAGCTTGCCTCCTCCCACCGCCCAATTAGGCCTTTTCTATACATTTAATCGAATAAATATTTGGAAATGCTGCTAAGTGGTAGGTTGAACCCGAGCTGAGGAGGAGGGGGGCTTGCCGGCGGTGGTAGGGGTAGGGCCGAGGCGAGGGTCGTTTGTGCGTGCGTGCCCTGTGTGTGCGCACCACCTCCGGCTGCCCGTGAACATGATGGGCTGCGGCTTCCCCTTTCCCGGGGTTTCCCGACGCACCCTTGTCCCCGGGGGCATCTTTTGGATGGCTCGGCTTCCATCCACCTCCTTCATCTGCAGGAGGAGGGTGACAAGCTCACTCTAGGGATGGGGGTAATGGATAACCCCCACTTCCCCGTATCCGTCGAAATAAAGTAGAACTGGGGAGGGAGCGTGGGGATGGGACTCCATCAAGAGTGACCTATTTCATCGCCACCAATAAAATCGACGGATCAAGATACAAAAGACTCTTTTCCTGCTGAGGTAAATGGAGAGTCTCGCACGAAAAGTCTGGCACGGGGTCAGTGCAAGTGGCAGCAGAAGTAACACAAGAAAAGGTGGATTCTTCAAGGGTTCACTCGCAGGAGACTGGTTGGCTACCTACACAAAGACAGAAATGTCTTTTATCTGACAGTAAGGGCTGAATAGGACCTCCGGGTTTGGTGGTGTTTTGGTTTGGTTTGGTTTTTGTTTGTTTGGGTTTTGCTTTTTTTTTTTCCTGGGGGAGGGTTTGGGTTTTTTGTTTTGTTTTGGTTGGTTGGTTTTTTCGTTTGGTTGGTTTTGGTTTGGTTTTTTGGTTTTTTTTGGTTTTTGTTTTTTGTTTTTTTTAAGGAGAGTGTGTTTGATTTTTTGGTCTGGTTTGGTTTTTTTCTCATTACCTGTGGGGTGCGGCAGCCAGCCATCCCCTTCTCAACAGATAGCAGATGTTGAGGGAGGAGAGCGGAGCTGGCAGGGTTGGCAGGGACGGAGGCACTAGCTGTCTTGGGTGCACTCTCCGACAGACGGACAGAGGGACGGGGGCTGAACAGGGATGTCAGAACTTGCTGCAGCCGCCGTCTCTCTAGCAGCGTCCCGGCGCGCAGCCATTCACAGGGAGTGTCCGCGAACGAGTGTGCACGGCTATTACAGACACTGTCGACATGCTTCCTCCGGTTTCATGGGACATTTTGACTATTCAAAGCATTAGTTTATGAGTCTTGAAATAGTAGGTCTCTTCTCTTCTACTTTTTTTTTTTTTTTTTTTTTTTTTTTTGACCCATACATCTGTCTTCTCTGCTCTCTGCTTTACTGGGAGAGGCAGAAATCGGGGTCCTCTCGCCCTTTTCCACTTTGTTCCGTTTCTTTTATATCTTTGGGTCTAATTT